TATATAGGCACTTGAGCCCTGTGACTGGTGCCTTTTTTGCCCCCCAGCTCTGATTCCCAAAGGGCCCCTTATTGCTTACCTGTGCTGTATTGTTGGCCGCCCCATGGATTGCAGGTTCCCGATGTTCTCCTTCTTCAGGCTGGGCTGTCCTTGTGGGTGCCACATGGTTTGGTGGTCCACGGCTTCCCCTGCCCTCATCTTCCCCTCCCCCCTACGAGCCTAGTTTAAAGCCCGCCGGAGGAGATCTGCCAACCTAGAAGAGAACACATGCTTACCTTTGGGGGACAGGTGAAGCCCATCCCAACTGAACATGTCCCTCGTCGTGATGTGTGGGTTGTTGTCCAGGAAGCTGAAACCTGCCTCGAGACACCATTGCCAAAGCCACCAGTTGGTCTCTCTAATGCAGTTCTCATGCCGTCTTCTGCGTCCGCTCACTGGTAGGACAGAAGAGAATACCACCTGTGCACCGATCTCCCTCAGCATGCTGCCCAGAGCGTGGTAGTCCATCATCAGGTGATCAGGGTTTCTCCTGGCCGCATCATTAGTACCCACATGGACTAGGACCATGGGGTAGTAATCGGTGGGCTTAATCCTGGCCTGGATTATTCCCATCACATCCTGAATCTTTGCTCCGGGCAGGCAGTAGACCTCTCGTGTTGAGGGGTCCTGGCGACCATATACTTCTCTGCGCCTGCTGGGAAAAAAGATGCAAAGATAATTACTTTATATAAAAAGGGGACAGAGCAGACTGCAACAACTACTGAAGGATATCTCTGCTCAGTGTGGTCATCAGCAAAGTAGTTGCAAGGGTCCTGTTGAAAGACTCCCAACGTCTTGCTGAGAGAGTCTACCCTGAGAGCCAGTGTGGGTTCAGAGCTGGACGCTCCAGAACTGACATGTCCTTCCCACTGCATTTGTTGCAAGAAAAAAGCTGTGAACAACAGGTACCTGTTGGTAGCATTCGTTGACCTACAAAAGGCCTTACACATGGTTAGCAGGAAT